CTCCAGGCCCTCCTTCACCCTAGACAGTCATCCTGCCCCTCCCACTCCCCAAAACAGGGCAGCAAAGAGGAAGGGATGCGGGAAGAGCAGAAGGGGGGAGTCCCCAGCTCTGCCGGGTCCCAAGATCACCAACCGTGAGAGATGCTCGTGCCATCCAGCCCCCAGAAGATGTCACTTGTCTCTCCCAGCTACGCTCCAGGGAGAAGGACAGCACTGCACAGACTGGACATAGGTGTGCAAGGAGGGGGCCCCAGCCCCTGCACAGGAGGAGCTGACGGGGGAACAGGAGACGCCAGGACTGCTTGGGATGGGCTGAGGTTCATGTGCAGGAGGCAGGTGATTTGACGCTGGAGCCTGAAGAGGGGCCAGTACTGACCATCCATTTCTTCAGTTGTTTAACAAACACAGTGTGTCAGGCTCTGTTCTAGGTGCTGGGGACACCACAGGGACGAGGCGCAAAGCCCTGCTCCCCTGCAGCAGACAGACGACAAATAACCAAGCTCACAATTGCAGAGGGCTCTAACCAGATTGTTGGGGAATCTCAACTGGCTGGGAAATAGACGTGAAATTGTTTCATTCTTCCAGGCACTGCCCTGGGCAGAGGCTGCTTTCCCGCTGGAAGCGGCAGCTCCCTGGCCAACACCCGGCCAGATTCTGAGCCTTCTCCACCTGCTAGGTTAGAATCTTCTCTTTCTGGGCATTGCCCGGTGAAACCCCAGTTTCTCGCTTGATGCAAACCTCTTCTCTCCTCCCTGTGCTCAGGTGGACCTTCAGAAGCTCTATGCCGATGAGCTGGTGGGTGGAGGGCTCCCCTGGCCCTCAGTTCTCCACTGTTGCGTAGGGAGAGAGAGAAAGAGGAATCTGCTCCCGACGTTCCTGGGCCAGGGAGCCCCAGAACCACGACTCCTTTTCTGTGAACAGTACCAGGGGTCCAACTTGCTCACCAATGGAGTGTTCACTTGGGGCACTCCCTGTGCTCAGCAAGGCCCCACACTTGGTTTAACATGCTGCTGCCATGGTCTCGAAATTCTTAACAATTGTGGAACAAGGGGCCCTGCATTTGCATTTTTCACCCAGACTGTTACAACATACGTAGCCGGTCCTGCCTGCCAGACATGCGTGTTACAGCTGCGTCCAGCTGGCCACATCACTCCACACTTCGCTCCGCCCCCAACGCTGCAACAGTCCCCAAAAGCCTGAAGCCGCAGACTCATCCACTCTCCAGGCCGGCTCTCCGGGCTGTGGGCACACGTGAGACTGCCCTCTGTACGTTCTGAGGGACCAGGAACCTCAGGGTGCGGGTATCAGCCTCTCCTCACTAGGCAGCCCCCACCCCACCATCCTCAGGAGCCCCCCGGGCTGGACGGCGGGTCCCCTGGCTAAGCTGAACTCCAATGGGACACCGAAATGCCAGCCTCTCCCTCCTGTCGGCTCCCTTGATTCCTGAACAAGGGATTCCTTCATCCTTCCGGGGTCCCTGCCCTTCCTTCCAGCTCTGCTGCAGACGTGAGGGAAGATGCTCTCTCCCTCAAATCTGTGCAGTCCCCAAGGCTCTCCCCCACCGGCCCCCACCTCTTCTCCTCTGCACGTGGGCGAGGGCCTTTGGGGAGGATGTGGGTCTGACAGGGCCCGGCTGTGAGCCCTGCAGTGACAAGGAGGTCTGGGAGGGTCTGCCACTTGAGTAGCCTGTGGGAGACCCAGCCCCTTGGGACAGGCAAGTCCCCACCAGACAGCCGGCAACAGAGCAGCGACTGCTCTGAAGAAGGTGCCAGAGGGGATGTGGCAGAGAAGAGGACACGCTGTCGGGATGGTGGCCATTCCAGTGGAAGAGGCCGAGGACGACCAGGAGGACCAGTCACCAGTAATAAAAAAGTTGCACGAAACGTGGGTTTCGACCTGGTTCTCAAGAGGCGACCTGAGGAAGTGGATGAAACTGACCAGACTTGGGGTATATATGTGGAGGAGAGGAGAGGGGAGGGAAGGGCAGAGGAGGGGAGGGGAGGAGAGGGGAGGGGAGGGGAGGGGCGGGGAGGGGAGGGGAGCGGGCAGGAAAAGAGAGGAGAGGAGAGGAGAAGAGAGGAGAGGAGAGGAG